ACAGATTTACGAGGATCATCCGCAACACAGCATGGTCGGTATTTACAACAAAACGCAACCTGCATTGATAATACGTGATCCAGAATTGGTGAAAACAGTGATACAGTCGAATTTTGACAGTTTCTCCGATAATCTATTGAAAGTGGACTTTCAACTCGATCCTCTTTTCACGATAAATCCTTTCTTTGCCAACGGCGAGATGTGGTTTACATCTCGGAAACGTTTGACTCACGCGTTTACTGGCAAACGGTTAAGAATACTGTACAAGTCCGTCGAGCAGGTTTTGAAAAAGTTCGACGATTACCTGGACAGAAGAATGAGTGGAAGCAACAGTATGATAGAACTCGAGATGAGGGATTTGTTTTCCAGGTATACAGGTGAGATAGTGGCCAACGCAGGCCTTGGCGTTGAAGGTTTCTGTTTCGACGGCGAAGATCATCCGGCGTCGTTCGTCACAATGGGAAAATTGGTATTCGATCCGACGCTTCTTGGCAAAATCGCACAAACTCTTAATTTCTTCCTACCCGAACTCAATAAGATCTTGCGGATGCCGTTCGTGCCGAAGCAAGTGGATCATTTTTTTCGGAGCACCGTGAAAGAGGTGTTACGCATCAGGCGACAAGAAATCGAGCGTAGAAACGACTTCTTACAGTTGATGGCGGATCTGGAGAAGACTGAGGGCCAACAAATCGACGAGGATCTTGTCACTGCTCATGCTTTCTCCTTTTTCGCCGACGGTTACGACACGTCCAGCATCACTTTGAGCTTCGTTGTTTATCAGCTTGCTCGACATCCGCACATCCAGCAGCGACTTCGCGACGAAGTGGAGACCGTATTTGACAAATACGATGGCCAATTGACTTACGATTCGTTGAAGGAGATGACATATATGGATCAAGTGATCAGCGAGTCGCAGAGACACTATACTTCGGGTGGTATGTTTGGCAAAGTCTGTACCGAAGAGTTCGAACTAAAAGGCTCGGACGGGTTATGTTGTCATGTGAAACCGGGAACAGAAATTATGATCTCTATCTTTGGATTGCACAAAGACTCGAAATACTGGCCCGATGCAGATGTTTATGATCCCGACCGATTTTCCGCGGATAGAAAGCCGGAAATCACGAAGTTCACTTTTTTGCCGTTCGGCGAGGGCCCGAGAGCCTGCGTGGGCATGAGAATGGCATTGTTGCAGGTGAAGGCTTGCTTGGCAACTGTTATAAGAAAATATATCCTGGAGGTATCGCCGAAGATCCAGGAGCCCCTTAGAATGCAGCCTGGCAGCTTCCTGACGGCACCTATTGGCGGAATATGGCTTTATTTGAGACGTATTTGACATTACATAAAACTCGATTGCAAGATGTACGTTAACTATACATAGGTGTAATCAATACAATCAAAAATAAATCAATAAACACATCAGCAAGACTAATAAAGTAAGCTTATAGTAGATTGCTTATTTACATATCATGATAATAATATTCCTTTCTAGAAAAAATCCGACGTTCTTGTTTGCTTCGTGAAACCTGAAGCATTGATCACAATATCGGTTTAGCGTTTGCAGTAAGATCTTCGATATTGAGGCAATCCTGAAGTATTCGATTCTAAAAGATTCAATTTAGACAAGAAACACAATATCGAAAAATTCACATATCTTTCCTTCAGCAAAGGGCCGTAGATCTGTCTGAGGATGATTCTGTTGCAGGTAACACATGTCTGATTATGCTTTTATAAAAGTTCAGGCTGGAATTTTCACCTAAGACATAGATACTCATGAAAATAATATTTAGAAGTTTCCTACCAACATCGAAAATGGACTTATGAGTATTTGTTCGACAATTGCATTTGTGCAAATTTTTCTTTATGATACAATAAGATTGTTTAAGATTTCATGATTTTGTAAAAGCTATACATGCGCATACACACATATCAAGAATTAACGAAAAAATTATATATTTTCAAGAGAAGCGATATTTGTATATAATGCATTAATTATAAACACGAACATTTTGTGAGAAGATTAGGTCTACGAGAAATTAAATGTGAAATAAGCGAGTTAATAGTATAGTAGAATTACACCACACTATGTCATTAAACAAAACATCCTTAAAAGCCTATTAAATAAATATTTTTATGTAAAGACAAAACAATTTAATATATTATTAACTGACTACTACTTAGGAGAAACCTAGCTAGTAGCGAGATTACAGATAAATTTACTATCTCGCGACTGGAAAATTACAAGACAATTTATACTATATACACTCGAATAAAAGTGCCAATATCTGAAAATATATCAAAGCATGATAACGTGTGATAGAGATATTTTTTATTAATTTTGATTCTTAAGAGATGTATAGAACATTATATTTATCAGTCAATGTTGATAAGTTTGTAAGACTAGATTAATTGGGGTTTCTATTCTAAAGTGAGTTATAATGATTGTTGTGCTCATTTCCTTGCTTTTCGGAGGACTCTTCGCAGCATGTTACTTTTATTTGGACAGGAATTACAATTATTGGCGCAATCAGGGCATTCCATGCGCGAAGGGCCTGCTTCTTGGGCTTGGCCACATGTGGCCGGTCGTGTCTTTGAAGATGAGCTTCTCC